AAAACCCATCCATATTCCCATATTGACCTCCAGAAATAATCAATGGTAATAACATTTTTTAATTAGTCCTTCAAAGCTTGTTTTCTTGATACCTTCCATCATAATTTCTTAGTCAAATTTTACTGATTTTTCTTTTTCAGAAAGAAAAAAAAAAAAGCTTGTTTTCTCGGGTTAGTTTTTATATAGTTGAGATAATAAATCTTCAATATCTATAATTTAATTTAGTGAACTGGCAATATATTCACATGGTTTAAAACCTAAAAAGTATACAGTAATACTCCATCTGTTTGGTTCCCCATCCTCCAAAAGGTACGGTATATTTTTAAAACCTGGCTTTCAGATTTTGTCCCATGCAATGTAATTCAAATGAAGAGAAATGAAATTCAACCAATATACTAGAGTTCTATATTTACAATAACCTGCTTCATAAAAGTCATACTTTGGAGAAAGACCTGACATTATTAAACTAGCAATGAGTGTTAAAATATCAAAACACGATCTTTGTGACAAATAATCAAAAGAGTAGGACAGTGTGATATAGGCATGGAGACAAGGTGGGTCAAAAAAGGGAAATTACCCATAGCACCGCAGCTGCCACAATGTGGAGGATGTAAAGGGACACAAGGATTGTTTGCCCCAAGGATCCTTCACCAACCGCTCAATTCTACAGTTAAAGATCCAGCCAGACACTTGGAAAAAAGGGTGAACGTTATTTTTAAAGCCCCCCCAACCCCCACCTCCTTAACAACAGCAATAATGAAAGAAAGAAAGAATATTCCAATCCCTGGTCAGACCCAATCAAAGACCAAATGCACAGACACAGGCATATGCTATCCGTTTGTAAACTCACCCTGCTCAGGGTCTTCCAACAGAACCCCTCTTTTAACCAGCTCTTCTCTTGGTTTTCGCATAGATATTTTTCGCTCTAAAACTAACATTAAATTGGAAAACAGCACTCAGAAATGTGGCAGTTGAAAGTTAACATTACTTTTAGCATTCTAAGTCTATAGTAAAAGAATAAAGTAGTTCAGATTTCTATTCCTAGGAAAGAGAAAAACAGGGAAACTAATTTCAAATTGAAAAATGTGAATTTCTTCCATAACCTGTGCTATTGGGAAAACATCATTCTAAAAAACTAGTCTTACATAACTGTAGCTTAATTGAAATCTCAATAATAAGATATTTACGGATGAACTTTGTGTTGATCGGAAGTGGGCAGAGTAGGGAAAAAGAAGCATCTTAGATTTATTTGCTACAGTTCAAGAACTCCATTTGCCACTCAATAGATTCTTTAATCCCATCAAAATACAAACCTGGAATTGGGACTATAGAATATAAGGTGTAGTGAATGATCACTTGGTTGTTTAATTCTAAAAGATTAAATTCTGTCTTCAAATAGACGGTTATGGAAGCTTGGGAAGAGAATGAAAAGTTAGATAATTCTAAAATAGAGAACTCTAACTTACAACACATATTTAAACCTTAGTAGCTCACCTTCTGAAGTCTCTTTGAATTTATCACTACTTTTTTTTTTCCTCCATTTCCAAGGCTTGAAGATCTTGCCAAAGCCAGAGAACTTGCTCTTTCTTTTGGTGGGAGGTGTTGTGTCTCCTGCTTCCACACTGTCCATGACCATGCCTGGGTCTGCAGTGGGCTGGTCTGCTTCTTCTGTTGCGTGGAGAGAAGAAGAGAGGGAAGAGAACAGCCAATTTATTATTTCAGCATAATCTCAAAAATGTCCCTTCCCCTCTCTTCCTGTGGTAGTTGGAAAGGGTCACAGCAATGATAAACAATCATGCAGACAGTTAGACTCCTTGACATTTACATGAACACCAAACATCAAAATCCATAACAGATAAATTACTTAGGAGGAAAAGGAACTAAACCAAGCTGACATCATTTTTGGACAAAATTTGGTGAAACAATCAGAGGTAGCTCAAAATCTTTTAAAGGCACACACATGAAATGTGGATGTCTTCTCAGTATGTATGAGATCTTGCCTCACTGAAGCAGAGAATTCCACCATTAGTCATTAGTGAGTGATTCATTATTCTCTGTTAAACATTGCCCTCTCCCTGCCCTTTTCAGGACATAAATAGTTCAGGGAGGGGTAACACATTAAGTGTTAACACCTTACTTGTATCTAATCTATCAGATAGTTTTCTCCCTTCACAAAAAGGACCCCAGGTAATTCTGGAGCACTGGAAGGTGCATGAGGTAGAGGGTGGGACATTAGAAAGAGGTAGCATTAAAATGGAGGGACATTTTTTGGAAACTAGAGGTGAGATTCCAGTCTGCCTATCACAGTATTGCTTTAGGGACAATCCTGATATTAAGGATTTGACATGAAACATAACTGACATGATACATGTGCAAGATTGAAATGAAAGGCCATGAGCCCCTCATAATGACCACACATGCAGGGTTTAGTTAGTTAGCTTTAATGGCAGAGAAAGGAGCAGCCAAGGCGGGGCCAAGAATAAAAAAAAAAAAAAAAAAAAGCAGGAAGGCAACAAAAAAAGCAGGAAGGCAACACAATACAGCTTTGCACTCCACCTACTGTCCCAGGGTTCTCTGGAGAAGTCTAGAGGGGAAGAAAAAAAAAGTCATGTGGAATAACCATCCTGGAATTAAAATGGAACCTCTACAGAAATACATCAAGGAACAGCATGCGATAAATTAATATGTTTATTGTAAACAATTTCGTATGTGAAGCAAATAACACTTTTGGAGGGGGGTAAAAAGGGTATAATATGTACAAAAAATCACTTTCCTCTTTTAACGCAGTAGATATTTTTTAGTAAAAGAAAATACACAATCCACAAGCATTAAATTTTTTTAGAAAACAATTTCCAAATTCAATCTTCTTTTAGTTGATAGATAGAAGTCTAGGGAAGTCCATAGATAAGGGTCAGATTTACATAGTCATAATTTAACTGCCGTGATGAATGCTGATGAATACTAGTTGCATGATTTACTTGAGGGCATCCGGGGTCTCAACTAATTTAATTCTTTACATGAAATGTACTAGAATCTGATTATAACACTTGACCATATATTTCAAAATTTAGTTGCCAGAGACATTAGAAGAACTTCTGACATAATAATCTGTCCTCAATGGTATCCTGGGATGGACTCCATGAGTGGCACTAGGGTGAACACATGGTATTTTTTTTTTTTTTTCTAGATAGGGTCTCACTGTTGCTCAGGCTGGAGTACAGTAATGTGATTACAGTTCACTGCAGCCTCTACCTCCTGAGCTAAAGTAATCCTCCTGCCTCAGCCTCCTGAGTCACTGCAACTACAGGCATGCGCCACTGTGCCTGACTAATTTTTAAAAAAAAATGTTTGTAGAGATGGAGTCTCACTATGTTGCCCAGGCTGGTCTTGAACTCCAAGCCTCAAGCAATCTTCCTGCCTCAGCCTCTCAAAGTGCTGGGAGTACAGGCATGAGCCACCATGCCCAGCATGCTTTTTAAGACTTAGTGCTTTAATTAAGACAGTATTCTCCTAATTATGGAATGTCAATAAGAACTGAAGACATTTCAGAGCATTCATAACATAATATTTAACATGTGCTAATGATAAGGCTTTCAAAGACCTAGGCAACCTCAGAAACGAAACTAAGTAACATTAACTAATTGTTCAATCTCAAAATAGCCTTACTTGGAAAGGCTAGGAGGGACTGAAATTTTAAATCTGCTAACCCACACACTGAGTGTTCCAAAAGACGCATGGGAAAAAGCCTGTTTGGTTATAAGT